CTCCTGGCCTCTGAATTTTCCATGCATGCGCTCACTGTCAGTTTGTGTCTAGATGCAACTTCATCCACAATGAGAAGGGAGTGGTACAAAGCTGCATACTCATAAGAGGCACGGTGCACATCTTGAAACATTTCCTGTCCCTTTCCTGCTGTGTGCATAAGGGAAAATAACATTGAGATAATTGAATGAGGAAGAGAAGAGCAAAGGGCAATAGCAGGTTTACGTTTATTACCGGCCAAGCAGGGGACGTCGCCATCTTACAGATGGAGAGACGAGCCACTCTCAAGGAGCAAAGTCAGTGTCAAGATCTCAGCACAGAGGAGACTCCTGACCCCCTGGCTGGGTAGGGCTCATGTCTAACATCAGCACTGACAAGTATTAAGGGCGTTTCTTTGTTCTTCAGAGCTGTTGAGGACATAGTCTTCCCACAGGCTACCCAAAGCATCTGCCTGCCTTGGACAGGCACAGGCGAGGTCAGATTGCCATGAATGTATAGATAGCGAGCAAGGCCCTAGGCCCATTTTAACTTGGATGGCTTGTCTTGCAGAAGTCAGAATGGTCAAAAGCCAGAGTTGGGTTCGGAAAGAGGGATTTCCAAAACTTTCATTTTGTGCTTTTGTACCTCAGAGTCAGACTCCAGTAGGGATGTAGATCTAGCATCTGAGGCAGAAAAGCAGGACTTGGGACAGCAAAAGATGGGCTGAACTGTTGTCTGACCCCGGCAGTGGCTGTGGCTCAAATGCCACTCTTGTCCTCCCTCACCTCCTGTCTTGTTGCTGTGACAAAATGCTCAGCAAAGGCTACTTAGAGAAGGAAGCTTGCAGGGCTCCTGTCCATCATGGCGGAGGAGGCAGGACAGCAGCAGCAGAAGGCGGCTGGTCACATTGCATTCAGTCAGGAGGCACAGAGCTGGGTGCTGGTGCTCGACTGGCTGTCTCCTTACCCAGCCATGGATTGCTGGTATGGAAGGTAGGTCTCTTTCCCTTCAGTTAACCCATATTAGATAATCTCCTATGCCCAGAGGTTTGTCTCTATGGTGATTCTAAGTCCTATCAAGTTGACAATATCAACGATCATACTCCCTGACTTTGATGGGACTGGACAGGGAAGCTCCAGTGGCCTCTCCCCATGGGGACAGGCCAAGAATCGCTCAAGACACAGCAAGGCCAGGCAGCAGAAGATACTCTGGCCTCCCTGCCTTTCTTAGGTTACGGCTTGGTAGGTGCCCAGATGACAGTAGGTCATGCATAGTGCCTCTTCATTCAGGGTCACCACAGGCAGGGAGGTGGCCAGTCTGATAGTTCCCAGGTGCTGCAGGTGGGGTGGGAGGTTGAGGGGCAGCAGTGTGGTGTCCTCAGGCACTGAGTGGCTGAGAACCCCTGAACTGGGATCCCCAGCTGCAAGGAAGAGCAGAGGCCGTAGGACAGCAGCTTCCTGAGGTTAGGACACAATCCTCCCCTCACCATGGCCCATGGATCCTTAGACTTCCAAGTTCATATTAAGGGGAACAGTCATGGGCAGGGTGTCTGGGGAGAGCTAGTGATTCCTAAAGACTCTACAGTCTCCTGAGCCTAAAACTGGACCAGAGACTGTGTTTATTTTTTTTTCTGCTCTTCCCTGATTCAGAAAGCATTAAGAAATTTATAATTATCTGCACACCCATGTGCGGTGTGAATTAGTTTGAGGCCTCAACACCTGGCATTTGAGTCTCTCAAACATCAGGAACTTAATTAGTTTCCTGCCACAATGAGGCATAGACTTGGTGGTTTAAACAAAGAAAAGTCCACTTGATCGCCAATAGTGCCCGGAGGCTGGAGATCTGGCCAAGGTCAGGGTTAGCTGGTTCCTTTTGAGGGCTGTGATGGCCACATGGGCTTTCAGGCTTATGGAGGCAGCATGCCCATCCCTGCACCCATCCTCAGATAAAGTTCTTGCCGTGTGCCTGTCCCTATGTCCAAAATGCCCTTCTAAGAAACCAGTCACTGTCTCTGGAGCAGGGGCCTGCCTCCAGCATGGCCTCGTTTTTCTTAATGACATCTGCAGTGACCTAGTTTCTAACAAGGTCACATTCTGAAGTGTTGGGGGTTAGGACTCCAGTGCAGGAGCGGTGGTGGTGGTGGTGTGTGTCCAACCCATGGCAGTAACTAAATTTTGCTTGTCTTTCATGTCAGAATGTCACTGGCCATTTGAACAACAACTGTCATGGAGAGACTGTTGTTCACCACAAACACCATCTCTCATCCATTTCCAATGACTATTCCATGTCTGTTATGTGCTGGGTGCCATTGCAGGGCTGCGGAGGACGTGAGTGAGCAAGACTTGAGAGAGCCACTCTCCTGTCACCCCCACAAAAGAGCAATGACAAGGAACACCTTGGCCTTCCATTTGCCCTGCAAGCTCTAGTCTGGCCTCCTGGGTCATCACCTCTAACCCTGTGAGGTGGGCAAAGTCCCATTAGGTGCATCTTACAGAGGAGGAAAGCGAGGGAGGGCCGAGGTGATGGGCGGCGGCAGGTCACTCTGAACCCATTGCAGCAGGCTGGGACAACAGTATCTGTCCTCAACTAAGTCTGTTCTCGATAACTTCTGTACAGCCTAATCTAACCCAGGGTATCAGAATAGAGGGGCAGGGAGGGTAGGGGTAGGGGGATCCCTTACTAGGACACGATCACACTGGTCTCACCCCTATGACTTGTCCAAACCTACATTCCTCCGTAAGAACTTGTCTCCAAATAGTTTGTGGAGGGAGGGGCATAAATTAGGGCATCAGCACAACTCAGTCCTAAATAAACACTAGCTAATTCCAGGATTTTTAACCACGCTAAACAGAACCCTGGGCCCATTAAGCATCATTTTTCATTCTCCTCATAACTGGCAACCAGCTACCTGCTCTCTGTTTCCAGATTTCTCTGATCTTGATGGCTTGTAGAGAATCATACAGTCATGCAGTACATGCAGTGCATGGCCTCTTCTGTCTGGCATCGGTCACACAGCTCAAGGTTCACAGAGCCATTTTTTTCTTCCATGCTGTGGATTGAGCCCAGGGCTCTGGACATGCTAGGCCCAGTGAGCTACACCTCCAGCCCTCACACCTGTGTTTTCCAGTTTTTGTTTGTTTGTTCCCAGAGTCCCAGAGAGCCAGGACCCCAAGGACCTTGTGCAAGATCAGACTGCTGTTGTGTGGAGCATCCACTGGCCAAGTTAGTACTGAGCAGGTGAAGTCCCAGAGGCTGCTAGGAACATTTCCTAGTCTGAATCATCCACAAGGCAATCCAGGGTGAATACTAGACCCAGAGTTGTGGACAGTACCCAGTAAGCTTGGAAAACAACCGAGCCTGTAACTTCCCTTTTGGGGTGGGGGGCAGTCGTGTCTCCCCACAGGCTTGAGGAGGCTGATGCGTGCAAATGTGCTTTGCTGTCTGCAGAGAGCTGCAAGGACGCCACAGCTCTCAGGCAGGGCAGCCAGAGGCCTTGCCAGGTCTGCTTCTGAGGTGATGCTGCTGCCATCTGCTGGCTGAATGGAAGTCTGCACAAAGCAGCCAAGGGAAAAGGTAGACGGTGAGTACCATCAAGCTGACAGGTCACTGGACCAAGGCGTTACACAGGCGTTCAGAACACGGGTGCCAACAAACTTTTTTAGTTTATTTTTCATAGCTTTTATCTTCAGTTTCATTTACACCTCATAAAGCTTACACATGGCAAGTATACAACCAGTGACTTTTAAACTAAAATTTTAATTTTGCAAGGATGGCAGAGTTGTATGGTAAACCCTCAGAGTCTTGTCTTTGGCACACACGTCCCTCCATAGATGCTTATGACAGGGGAGTTGTGACATGAGGACTATAGCGTGTAACCTGGCTAAGAGGGATCCGTAAGGATGGGATGAGGGGTCAAGAGGCAATATAATCCCTGGAGGGATCCCTAAGGACAGGATGAGGGGTCAAGGGGCAGTAAAACCCCAGAGGGGAGGAGCTATTGGAATGAGGAGCTGTCAAGGCCGTGGAAGATGGGAGGGCAGGATGGAAGGGGCTACCATTCACCAGCAACCACGCATCCCATCCAAGTTCAACCCAGGCTCGTTATTCAAAGTACCCACACTTAGGCACAGCCATGGACAGGATGCTCAACCCTCAGGAAGCTCTAGGTCTGTCTGCTGTGCCACCCTTGGGGAACCATGGTGTAGTGAGTGGTACCTGATGCCACTCATGGCTGGCAGCTCTCTAGGCCTGGCTATTCCCTGTGGAATCCTGTCCTTGCCGGGTTGTCTTGTCAGGTTCATTGCTTTCTGAGTTAGAATTGCGAGAGGGTGCTCTCAAAGACACCATCAGGCAATCCACAGTGTGCTACGCGGCAACCATTCCCATGGTTACTTCGAACATATCCTGGAGCCAGTACCACGGACATGTCAAGTCAGCAGAGTCCCTCAGGCCTGAGGGATGGAGTAAACTCAGGGCTAAGGAATTCCATCAATGCTGGAAGCTGACGGGGACTCCCAAGTGGGGCTAGACCACTTCAGGCCTGTAAAGAGCTCATCTCACTCTGAAGCAAGCCAGCCAAGAGAAGATCCTGGGTTGCCAAGAGTCGGGGTGTTCAGAGGACTCTGAGGCACCCATACCAGGCTGGTATCATAACTGGCTTCAGTGCTTAATATTTAAGCCTTAAATTAAGCCAATGCCTTAGCTTAATACAACCAAGTCAGTGATATTTATTTCATTTCTGGGTGGTACTAAGGCTCAAACACGTGATCTTCTGCAATGATATGTATTTTATAGTACTAAGGTCTTAAGATTAATAAAAATGCTTGAGAATTGGGCATGGTGGCACATGCCCTTAATCCCAGCACCTGAGAGGCAGACACAGGTGGATCTCTGTGAGTTCAAGGTCAGCCTGGCATACTTAGATGGTCTGAGGTTAGTCAGAGCTATATGATGATATGATGAGACCCTGCATTAAAAAAATAAAGAGTAAAGTCCTGGAAAAAAATAAAAATATAAAACATGATACGGGAAAGCAAGCTCATTTATTCAAATTATATTACAAGTTCTATATACAAATAGAATCTGTATAAATATTTTAAAAAATAAGATACTAAAAATTTCTCTTATAAAAATGTAAAAATAAAATCTGTATTTTTATGTATACATATGCCATTTAACAGGACCCAAATGTACAGTAGCTGATGCGAGGTCCATTGCCACACTGATGTCCATCAGCTGCTCTCAGCCTAGGGCCTAGGCTGCTGTGGAGATGCCCCACACCATCTTTCCCTCTGGGACCAGCAGGCAGCAAGAGCTCCTGGGCCACAGATGGAGCTCCCAGCAAGCACTGGGAGGGAAATCATTTAACCCTTTTCCAGAGCTGGAGGAGCCGTCCTAGGCGGGGTGCTTCTCGTCAGGGTTCTGAGATGGTACATCACTGTTCCAGCTCGTGTTCATTCTGCAGTGTCTTCATTGCCAGCCCCCAGAGAGTCATACTAGAGAAAAATTGTCCCTCAGAGTTCCTGTAAGTCACCGAAGGTGCCCGGCTGCCCAGCGGCTCGGTGCAGTGGTTGTCCAGAGTGGCCAAGGAAGAGCGGGTCACAGTCATACCATCAGCCTGTGACTGCTCAGCACCTGCTGAGGGGTCCACATCTGAGTAGGCATAGGCGTGTGACTGGCTCTGTAGCTCCTGGGGCTTGGCCAGCTTGGCAGGGTCCAGGCCAAGTTTGTCCTGCTCACCCATGCTAGGAGGGTGGATCATGGAGCGTAACTTACAGTAGGAGCCGGTACAGTGACCATCAAATGCTGCCACAGAACTTTCCACTGGGTGTACAGGGAGCTTGACAGACACAGGCATTAGTGTGACGGACACGTCCTGGGAGAAGGAGTCGGAGCTCTGAGACCTATCCATGTCAGTCTCAATGGCCTGGCTCAGCTCATCCAGCACAGCTGGACTCCTGGCGTCAGCTCTGCCATGCATCTTCTTGTGCCGCCGCAGCACCGCAGAGCGTGTGAAGCACTTGCTGCAGATCTCACAGCTATAAGGTTTTTCCCCAGTGTGAGTGCGGACGTGCCTGCGCAGGTCTCCTGAGCCCCCAAAGCACTTCCCTGAAGAGAGAAAAGAGTACTTTAGAAATGGAAGGATCCTCTCCTTCTGAACAACTGATCTAAGGGTAGTTCATGGTACCCTCACTTTGGATAAGGTCCCTCTCTGATAGACCTTGCAGTTTTGAGACTTAGCACAAGACTCTGGGGTTTCAGTACTGCCCAGCGGCTGCTCCCTTATCGACTAAAATAAGATCTCCTCAGCAGAGTTACTTCTGGGCTACATTGCTGTCATTTGAGCCTGCAGTGTCCCTTAATGCTCCCTGGCTGACGATGCTATTCGGAAGGATGTGGAACCTTAGGAGATGGAGCCCAGTTAGTGAAAGGGAGTCATTAGGGCTAGACCTTTGAAGGAAACCTTAAGCCCAAACTAATCTTTCCTCTCTAGTTCCCGTCAGGAACAGTGGTGGCGGCAGCCAGGTAGGAGCGACTGTTACTACGGCAGTGCCACACGGCCAGCCTAGGACCTAGGACAGTCAGTTTGTGTTGGGGGCTGCAGACCCCTGGCCCCCTGACTTTCTTTGCCTGCCTCAGACCCTTTGCCTGCTGGAGGGAACTGAGCAAAACAACTTGTTTACCTGTGCCTGCAGCTGCTCTGAGCACGAGTCCCTGATGGCAGGAGAATGGTTTCTGGTGAGGCCTGCAGCTGAAAGATCCCGAGAGCTGGGGCGTGGCCAGAGCCCTATAGAAGCTGCCCCTGAGCACAATAATGGTGGCATTCTTGTATCAAGGATGACCCGTGTCCCTGTCTCTGTGTTTGTGTGCCCCTTGCCTGAGACTCGCAAACTGACCTGTAGTGGCACGGGCGCTACAAGTCTGTACCAAAGATGTGCACATGCTTGTCCTTCAGCCCGTTTCCTTGTGACAAGTGGAAACTCAGTAGGTAACTGCAAAGGCCCTAAGAGGCTGAGAACTCCCTCATGGGAAACACCCCAAACACACACACACTGGACTTAGTGAGAACGTCTCACTTTACTGAATGCCACTGTCTGATTTGTTAAGTAACAAGTGCGTGTGTGGGGTGGGGGTACAATGAATGCCCTTTGTTTGCAAAGAGGGCTCCGGCACTCCACCGTGTCCCGCTGAGTTCGCCAGCTCTTAGTGACAGGGCTTTGAGTCACTTTGTATCTGGAGCGTTAGGATCCGTTCCTGACACCTCAAAGATGCAGTGTCTGGTGTGTGGCATCGTTCCTGTAAGGAGGCAAAGGAACTGCCCCTTTCACTCTATGAGAAAACTGACTTACGGCAGCCAACAGCAGAGTGGGTAACTCTGGCGTGTACAGGATGAGGTCAGCTTGCCGGCTGACCAGCATCACACTCACCACAGGCAGGGCAGCTGTAGGGCCGCTCGCCCGTGTGCCGCACACGGTGCTTCACCAGCTTCCTCTGCATGTTGAAGGACTTCCCACATTCATCACAGGTGAACACTTTGTCAGCCGTGTGCGTCTTTTTGTGCTCCTTCAGATTGCTGAAATTGCTGAACCCTAGACAGACCACAGCAGGGGTTAGGGTGACAAAAGGAACCCGCAGCAGTGACCCTGAGAGCACAGGGAGTCGCTCACTCAGCAATACCTCGGCCGCACGTGTCACACAAGTGTGGCTTCTCTCCGGAGTGAATGATGATGTGGCGCTGGACATCACCAGAGGCGGCAAACCTGCAAGAAGTGCAAAGTCCTATCAGATTGGTGACACTGCCGAGACCCTGAAGACCAGGGCCATGCAGAGGACATAAACTGCTCTACCTGTTTTACACAGAGCTGGGTGTGGCCTGCTTTGTGTGTAAAACATCTCTATTTCTCTGTTTCAGGGGAAGCAGAAAACGATGCCAGTGTTTTGGTTTTAAGATGCTTCCTGCTTGCATCATCATACTCTATCCGGTTTCCAACAGCACAAGACCAGAGTCTCTCTCTGTCCCACAGTTCACTCTCTCTTACCTTAAAAAAAATACATTTATTTATTTAGTGCATGTGTATGTACACTGCAGCATGCATGTGGAGGTCAGAGACAACTTGGGTGACTTAGCTCCCCTTCTACCATATGGCTCCCAGGAACTAACTTAGGTCACCGGGCTTTGCGGAAAGTGCCTTGACTCTCTGAGTCATCTCACTGGCAAGTCTCACAATTCAGAGGAACATGAGACCCTGTGGTGCTAAGACCCTGCTGGGATCACTGCACTTGTGGGAAGCGTTCCATGTAGTGTGACAGCCCAAGGCTCACACTGAGAGCACAAGGTTAGCTCTGCATGTCTTGGCAATGAAACCAGCTCTACTCAATCTAGTGTGAAATACACAGACTTCAGGTTTCAGGAGCCAGGGACACTTTGGTCCTCCTTCACCTATCCTAGAAAATGAGCTCACTCACCTCTAGCCCACACTGGAGACCCATCCACATCCACCCTAAGACAGTGACAGAGATAGGAATGAAGAAAGAACCAGTGTTCATGGAGTAGCTACTCTGAGCCCAGGACATATTGAGTGTCTGATAATTGGTACCTCCCATAATTGTCTCTGCACACCAGGACACCCTTTTACCCCGCCTTCTGGATGGGAAACAGTGAGTGCAGAGATGCACATGAGCTTGGGTGGGCAACAAGCACCTCTCACCCATGTGGAGATGGATACTCTTTCCTGGCTCGCCCCTCTGATGGCTGGTGGGTTGGTCCAAGGAAGATGAGGTCCAGAAAAGATCTTTTTTTATTTTTTAAAGATGTATGTATTTATTATGCATATAGTGTTGTCTGCATGAATGCCTGCAGGTCAGAAGAGGGAGACAGATCTCATTACAGAGGGTTGTGAGCCACCATGTGGTTGTTGGCAATTGAACTCAGGATCTCTGGAACAGCAGCCAGTGAGTGCCCTTAACCTCTGAGCCATCTCTCTAGCCCACAAAAAAAGATCTTACACCGAATTTCCAAGATCCTAATTTTCAACACAGCAAAATGTTCTCAGGAGCCCATGGGAAGTAACACCATGTGAGACAGTTCTGTCTGTGCTGCTGGGCACCTGCCATGACCGGAGAGTACCACCCAGAACTTGGCTTTATGTTCAGGTAGTTGCAACAGAAGGGAGCCAGGGTCAGCATGACAGCCTTTGCTTTGTTCCATTTTCCAACGCAGAGGCAGACAGGTTCCCAAAACTCAACTGAAGCTTGATTTTCCCTCTGCTATGCTCATAGAATGTGCTGTGGAATGTGCTGGAGGATGCTGACTTCTGAATGCTCCTGGGTCTATCTTTAACCTTCCCGACAAGGTTGCAAGGAGGACTTGTGAAAGGCAGAGAATCTGAGCCACTGACGCTTATGCTCCCCTTACAGCACTGAGCAGATGGTGGGAGTTACGGATGCTGGATGAATGAGTAATTAAATGATGGAACCCAGACACGGAACAATGGGGATGCCATGGCTACTGGTGGAGCCTGCAGTTCTAGCACAGGATGGTGGAGTAAGAAGCTCCTGGACTGTTGCCAAGCAAGGGGATGGAGGCTGAAGCTGTGGCCTGTGCGCACAGGAGGGACGGACAAGCCCCTCACTTACCCCTGCCCTGTGAAGGAGTCACGGCGGGGCCGACCACCCAAGGCTGATTCTCTGCTGCCAGGCCAGCACTCAGTTCTCAGGTCAAAACTCAGCTGCCAAGGTTGAGCGTCACAGACTCTGTCCTGAAGCTAACAGCCTAGCTTGACAACACAGCTTAGGTACCTCTGATGCCTCATCTCTGGGTGCCTAGTCACACAGGCTTCGGGCACTGTTTCCCCTGACTAGACAGTCTCCTCCATGGGGACCTTTTAAGAAAGAACATTTTGGCATAAACTAATCTGTTTCCTGTAAAGCCGACTTCCTTCTGGGGCCCCAGCCTAGATGTCCGTGCTCTCCGTGAACTTTTCTTCTTACTCTCTCATGTGTCACAGAGTGAATGCCCTTGTTCTCTGCCATGGCTGTGTGAGCCCTGGTGGCCCGTGATATGATACTGGACAAAGTCACTTGAGCCACCCACAGTCCCTCACATGTGCACCTTGAGCTCAGCACTGACCTCTTTCCACAGATTTCACAGATGTATGGCTTCTCCCCAGAGTGCCGGCGTAAATGAGTCTGAAGGTTGCCTGCCTGCAAGAGGACAAGAAACACACCAATAATGAAGAACCAAAAAAGTTGTAGGCGTTCAAAGGGAGCTGACAGTTTTAGCCGATCCCACAACACTACCAGTGAAGGACAGACAGGAAGCTATGTCTAAAGCCAAGGGCAGCCACCCACTGCACAAGGACCCCCAACTGTGGCCTCACACCGGTACCCGCTCTGTGATGCCTCCTTTGTAAAAGGGCAGGTTACTCTGGGGAGGAGTAGGTTCCCAGGCCTAATTTTAAGCAGACCCTGATATAGTTAATTTAGAGCACCCACATGCAGGGTTATATGGAAAGTTAAGCACTTGTGGGGCTTATTTCAGTGTTCACAACCTCTCTCTAAAACAAATGATTTTGTTCAAAAGAAGCAAAAGGCGTTTCCAGAAAGTATGTCCTCTAACAGTAAGGTTGGCTCTGCCTGGCCAGCTTTTCATTTTTACCTCTGTGCAAGAGTGCACCTCAGGAGGACCAGAGCAGCACTGCAGACTCTTTGTGAAGCTAGCAGGGTTTCTCACATAGACTTCCATACAGTCATCAGTATGAAATCAAAAAATTATAATATTGCAAAAGCAAAGCTGTAAATTCCTCCCTGGAAATATTTCAAATTGAGGCTGAGAGGCAAAGTCTTCCCTCACTGTACCTGAACAGCTCGAGCTGTTAAGAGTGTCGTCCTGCCAGACAAACCCACGGTGACAAACAAAAATGCCTTATGGGCCACACTGCAGTGCACAGCAGCGCCAGAAAAGAGAAAAAGCAGCAGCTAGCTAATAACTCGCTCTTTGCCTCTGTAAGCTGCCTCAAGCAAACTGCAAAGACAGCTTTGGTTATAGTCCATCTGTGCGTCACAGCTCACAGATACTGAAAGACGCTGCCTGTGGAATCTGATCCGGGGAAGCCTCAGTTAGACACTACATTCAAGACTGTGATAAACACAGCTGAGAGAAAACTGGGACTTTGAATAACCAGAGGGATCTTGGCAGAAGAGTCCTATTTATAGTGACTATTAATAACAGGGCTACAGCAAACGCCAACAGCAAAATCCACATGCTGAAATTTTACCTTTTATAAGCACTGGCAGTTGGTATTCTACTTTCTAGCTGAAGAACAGATTTGGCGACTAGAGCAGTTGCTAACGGCCATGGTTGGGCTGATTACTACTGGTCTTAGGGTGCAAGTCTTCTCTGCTTTTGCAAATCACAGGAAACTGACATGTCCTGAACAGTCAGCATGACAGCCACTCGGCTACCTGGGATACCAGTCCTTAGAGAGCTGAGTTTCAAATACTAATTGCTTTGGTCAGTAACATCCAAACTTCAGAAAAAAACAATGTGATACACCCACATATATCTGAACAGCACCACCTGCTCTACTGCCAGGGAGAACCCTCTGTAGCACTAAAGGTGAAGTAAATATGTGTGAAACACAGTCTGAGACATTAATAGAAAGATACACACCCCCTCCCCAGCGGTGTTACTTGTTTCAAGGCAAATATAACCCGATGCGCTTCTAATGTACAGCTGTAGTCAATGAATGTGGTAGTACAGGCCTGTAATTCCAGCACTCGGGAGTCTGAGGTAGGAAGACTACTGTGTTTGAGGTAAGCCAGGGATACCAGCAAGTTCCAGGACAGCCAGGACTACATAGGGAGACTGTCTCAAAAAGTCAAAATATAACAAACAACAAAAGAAAGCAACAGTAACAAAATCCTTAACATGTCTCTACCATTTCACGTGGAAATACAAAATGAAAATCAGTAAATCTTTGCCACACACAGTAGCACATACTGGGGTGACAAACTGTACAAACACAGATAAAATAGGACCGATGGAATGTTCTGCACACAACACCCCAACAACCAAACCGTAGTGCATGTAGGCAATTTGTACAGAAGACCCAGGAGTCCTGTCCCTGTTATTTTTGGCATCAATCCATACTTTTATTTTTAGTAAACTGTAGCTACGCTGCTGGTATCCAAAGTGCACAGACCATGTCTTAAGAAATATCTGCAGTTGTGTTTGCAGAACTGTGCCAAGCAGGGACAATAATGTTATGAAAGAGAGCAGAGTTCTGCAGCAAAGACACACCAAGTTCAGGCTTGCAGAGCTGCATTGCATTTTACAGAGCAGTCAGCTGGAACGCTCAGATGCCTTGAGTCACAAGACTAGGAGAGTTAATTCACCTGGGTTTTGATTTTTTTTTTCTCCTGAGACCTGGTCTCATTATATGCCCCTGGCTAGCTTGACATTCATTACATAGACCAGACTGGCCCTGAACTCATAGACATCTGCTTGCTTCTGCCTCCTGAGTGCTGGGGATTAAAGGCATGTATCACCACACTTAGCCTAATTCAAGTTTATCTGCTGACTTCAAAACCTGTGCTAATAAAATTCTGAAGATATTAGCTTCTACTTGCTTTTAAGTTAAGACAGAGTATTGAAGAGAAAAATCCCATCAGAAAAGAGAAGTAACATCTGGGCTCAGCAGGTAAAGGCAACTTGTCTCCAAGCCTGATGTACTGAATTCAATCCCCAGGACCCATATTCATGGTGAAAGGAGAAAACTGATTCCTGAGAGCTGTCTTCTAACCTCCACACACACTGTGGTACAAGTGTTCCCTAGAAAATAAATACATAAATATGGGGATGTGGGAGTCCCCTCTGTGTGCTGTGATTACCATTAATGAATAAAGAGACTGCCTTGGCCCGTTGATAGGGCAGAACTTAGGTAGGCAGGGAAGATGGTACTGAATTCTGGGAGGAAGAAGGCAGAGTCAGGGATGCCATGAAGCTGCTAAAGACAGACGTGCCGAAACTTTGCTGGTAGGCCAAGACCTCATGGTGATATACAGATTACTCGAAATGGGTTAAATTAAGATGTAAGAGTTAGCCAATAAGAAGTGAGAGCTAACAAACTAAGCAGTGATTTAATTAATACAGTTTCTGTGTGGTTATTTGGTTCTGGGCAGCCGGGACAAACAAGTGGCTCCCCCCAACAATATAAAGTATTTTTAAACGTATCATCTGAGTTGAATCACTCTTAAAATAAACTTTATGATGTAGACCCAAACCTTAGTCTTCACCCATAAAGAAACCAGGCCTCCCTTTCCTGTAGATGGCAGCTGAGTAAGAACAAGGGTCGTACAAACTCAGAGACAGAAGGCGTTGCACACATTAGTCATCTAGCTGAGTTCCAAGTCTTTAGAGCTTCAGACAATAGTAAAATTTTAAAAAACACCCAGGACAAACACACACTTCCCTGGTGATGTTATGAAATGATGTGACTAGATCTACTGAAGCCTGAGAATCCCTGAGTCCCAGGTTAGCACTTCGGGACATGGTCAAGATGTCCCTGCTTCTTGTACTTTCACCAAGGATGAGGTGTGTGGTTGCTCTGGTGTCAGCCCAGCACCCGGGACTCTGCCTCTGAACTTCTCCAGAGGGCTTCCTTGGCATACTGCATGCAACAAGAGAAGCCACCCCCATCCAGACAGTACTACCAGAAAACATGGCACCCAAGACTGCCCTCTGCCTCTCAGAATGTGGTACCAGCTGATCAAAGTCTCTTCCTGGCTCTGCTTTTCTCCAAAGATAGCTGACTTCCCAACTTTCCTTTTCCCCCACTGCCCTGAATGTACTGGTGTCTTTGTGCACCATATAGGAAGCACAGTACCTAAGACATGACCATTCTCTAAGAGAATATGAAACAGCTGAGAGCATCACCACTGCAACCCAAGATGACGCTGGCTGATGTGCCACAGTGCCAGCCAGCTCATTAGTAAAGCCGCGCTTAAGTGCAGACAGACTAACTCTTCTAGACAGCAATCCTTATGAAACAGGATAAGAGATTCTTACTGGTAAATGTTTTCAAACTTTCAAATTCTCCAAAGAAAGGGCCCTTAGGAACTCAGTACTACAGCGCACTCCGGCAGACCAGGAGGGGCATCCCAATCTAGTGACCACCACTGTCTACTCCAGTCATTCTCAGATGACTGGACAGCAGAAATGGGGAGTAGTGCCATCTCCTAGCAACCAAACGCAACAGCACCCTGCCCTCCACCCCCAGTCATAGCTGTCTCCAAGGCTCATCCAAGGACAGTCATGTGCTGCCCTTAGCTTGCTCCAAAGGCCATGCATGTCTGTCAGGCAGCCATGCTCTCTTCTGTCTGCACTGCTCCTAGATGTGTCTGGCACAGCATGCCCCAAGTCTCCTTGTCCTACCATCCACACAGTTATGTCTCCCTCTGAAGAACAAGCTCCTCAGAGCCTTACTCGTGTCTGCTCCATCCCAGCATCGGCAGAGGTAAGGGCAGCTTAGGAACATGCAGCTCTTGCTGAGTCAGGTCTCTAAAACAGCCCTTTGTCGAGCAACTTCACTACTTCTCTATGAGAACAACACAAGATGCATCTGAAAACCACAGTACAGCTCTGCATTCACACAAACCTAAGAGGAGCTGTGCTAACCCAGAAGGTACCAGAGCCGCCCTGGGGACAATGCAGAGGGAGGGCACAGCAGCAGCGCTGGGTGGGTGGGGGCAGGGAGGCTGACACAGATCCTGAGTGTGCAGCTGTATTCTAGTTACCAAGTGGAGCCACAGAAGGGCTCTGAGCAGGAAGTCATTACACATGAAAGGTAGTAAATCCCCTCAATAGCTCCACAAGATAGTAATGTAAGAATGAGAAAGAGGCCCAGAGAAGCATGGTGAATGCTTATTATCAATGGTCACAAACAGTTTTATACTTTACTTTTCTTAATTTTTACTTATTTATCTTTCGGGGGGGGGGGCATCAAAAGCCACATGTGAAGAGTAGAAGACAACATGTGGTAACTGGTTCTTCCCTTCCACTATGTGGACCCCAGGCATTGGAATCAGTTTGTCAGGCTTGGCAGCAATATCCCTACTTGCTAAGCTATCTCACTAGGCCCAGTCCTAGGTGGCTAGGATGAAAATGGTGGTCATGGGAAGGACCACACAAGGACTGGGGTGCAGAGCCAAGAGGGAGAGCACATGCTGTTCTAAGAACCTGGCCGCATCAACTCCTTACTCCTGCACACTCTCTAGGGCAGGTGCTCCTTCATCCTTGTTTAAGAAATGAAGACACTGTCTCGTCCAGGGTAACAGGACAGTACATCTGATAGAGGCCAAGCTCTGCACTCCAGGGGCCGAGGTGGAAGGCAGTGAAGGTCTCCATGGGAACAGTGATAGAGGGACGCACACTCAACACCTGTCCAGAGCTGCAACATGAAGCTGTTCCAAAGTCATCACTCTGGGAAGACAGGGCCAACCACGAGAAGATATGGGGAGTCACCAAGAGGTAAGCGTGACCAGAGCACACTAGCCCATGCCAGTGCATGGGAAGAGGGAACTGCAGTCAGATTTGGGAATAAAAATGACTTGGTCTAATCTGCCCAATATCCTGCCTCTAGTCCAGTGAAAGTAACTATTGGTCTTGGACCTAACCCAGCATACAGTGCGGCTCCAGAGAAGATCAGTGTGGACAGCTGGAAACTTCAAGACACACCAGGGCAGGACCCATCATCAGTGCAGAAAAGGGAAAGGTGCTTCGACGGCTCTCACTCAACAGCAGACTTCCTAATGCCCTGGAAATGTGGGTTCTGACCCAGCCGCAAGTCTCTAAACTGCCACTACCACACATGCTTCTCTCCCAAGGACAAAAGTGAGTCTTATTGGTAAGTAAGTAAGCAACGGAGTTCAGGCTTCCAATTATCAACAGTAAATAAGAGTATTCCCACCTGAGAGAAGTGCTTCCCACAAATGTTACATTCAAAAGGTTTCTCACCTAAAACAAAGCAAAACACAACAGTTTGTTGTCAGTACAAAAATTTGCACAATCATTTTTGTTTAAAATATTTGATCTCCTTCGTCTCTCCTTTCCAAACAGCCCATTCTGTTCTTCTGTGTTTTATTTTAGAACAAGATCTCCCTCTATAGTCCAGGCTGATCTGAACCTCTCAACAATTCCTGCCTTAGCCTCCTGAATGCTGGGATAATATGTGAGAGCCACCACGCCAGCCCGTGACATTCTTTATCCCCAGAGTGAGGCACAGGGTATCTCTACTTCCAAATATTTATCTCTTACCCTGGGGCTCTCCAGAAAGATGATAAAATCCAATCTATAGACCTTCATCTAGAAGTCAAACTATCCTCCAAATACAAACCTAGGGTGAAATAAATAGATCGCTCAGTTTTCCTTCAGCACAAAACCAAATGGGACTTTTCTCTACTTGACCTCTGACTCCAAATAGAGTGAACAGTCCCTTCACACCATGGGGGCTGTGGACACTGGGGCCTGAGGAACAGCCCTCAGCACTGCCTGCCTGCCTTGGCTGAGACTGGGCCTTCACGGAGGAGAGAATGTGGTCTCCTGTCTGTCTGCTCCACCAAGTACAGCAACTACAACAGCCTGGAGATGCAGCTGTTCTGAATGGAGGTCTGCTGGAAGGAGTACTGGAAGGTGCTGCCTTTAGTCTGTGGGAGCCTTTGTACCCCAAGAAATGTCATTTCCTCACTTCCCCCAAGTCAAGTGGTTACCTTAAGACTCTCTTAAATATAACAACACTGTTCTTCTACTTACAGGGCCTGTGACCTTGGCAATGACCTGCAGCTATCTGGGCTTGTCTTCAGCCCTGGATGACTGTCACCATTTAAGCCTGTGTTCAGCCTTCTTTTATAATTACTGGGGTAACAGATAATGGTAAGTTCAAGCCCACACAAGAGAGATAAGTTAAAAAAAAAAAAAAGACAAGCCATGGGTCATAAAGGACCAAGGTTTTTAACAACCATATCCACAGGTCTTGGAAGCCGTTTTCACTATGAAAATTTTGGTCCTATGGGCTGTGACTATCAACATATACACATTAGAAATAAAACAGAAGGCACTCTAAAGACAGAGGAACACAGGTCTCCTTGGCCACCAGCAGCACATCATCCCACACCATGTGGCCACTGGCAGCTTCCACGGCACACCTCGAGGAAGCGGCATCTGCACCATTCTGAAACAGCTCTGGCCTCACAGATCCCTGGCATCCAGGCCACGCTCTGCTACCATCTCAATGCAGCATTTATGTCCGACGAAGTGTCTCTGCCCTATGACTGTATTTGACACTCACAGATGTTCTCCGGAATTAGCAATTTGATTTTGCTCCTTTAAAGCTATAACAGGTAAGTTTCTAAAAGAAAAATGAAATAAAACTGATAGTATTCCTCAGGCAGTAGAAAATTAAGCAAAAATTAATAATAATAATTTAAGTCAAGTTGTTTTTGTAGCAAGACTGACTGAGAGCTGTCTGTACCTGGTCTTATTTTGAACTACAAGTAATGAAATGACAGGCTTTACATTCGAATACACTGACATCTATAAAGGACTTTTATAACTAGTGAAAATGTCTCAACTGATGCACTGAGGTAGAAATCACCTCAGCAAAACAGAAGTCAAAAGTGCCAAGAGAACAGCATGCCAAGGCAGGCAGCTGGCGGCAGGCAAACAGGGCAATCTAGAAGCATGCTGCTGTCACTGCTCATGGCTGTGCTTCTTTTGGGGGTGGGGGTGGTTTGAGACTGAGTCTCACTCTGAAGCTCTGGCTCTCCTGGAACTATGTAGACCAGGCTGGCCCCAAATTCACAATAGATGCGCCTGCCTCTGCCTCCTGAGTAGTGGGATTAAAGGTGTGCACCATTACACCCAGCTCATGGTTATACCTTAACTGTTACTAATTCATGAAGCACTAATAATTCTATCACAGTTAACGAGGGGGAGAGTGAGACATAGGTATTGTACAATGTGTTTTGGGAAGGCAATGGTATGAATTAAGATAATAAACCATTAGAAATTCAATGTCTAAGGTGGAAGAATTTTCATTTGAAAACATCAGATGGAATGGGGCTGGCAGGAGGGGACCACAGCTCAGTGGTGGAGCAGTTGTCCAGTAGGTGCAAGGTCAATCCTTGTACCACTAAAACAAACACAAAAACAAAAAATCAAGTTGTTAAAGTTGATTCTTATTTAAGAGCTTACCTCCTGCCTCCAAAATCCTAACTTTTCAAATTAAAATTACTTCTGAGAGAAGTTTAAGAATTATTCAAATCAAGGGGCTGGAGAGAGGGCTCAGAGATTAAGAGCATTGACTGCTCTTCCAGAGGTCCAGGTTCAAGTCTCAGCACCCACATGGTGGCTCACAATTGTCTGTAGCTCCAACTCTAAGGGACCTGACACCATCATACAGACATACATGCAGGTAAAACACCAATGCACATAAAATAAAAATAAATAAATTTAAAGTACTGAATGTAATAGTAAAAAAGAATGAGTCAAATTCACTGTCAGTCTGCATTCTACTCTGAGAAAGCCCTAGAGACAACCAAGCACAGTGTCTGTCTTAGAGCTAGAACCTGAGTGCACTAAAGCAGCTGACTGTGAGCTGGACGGACGCCACCCTACAGAGAACATACGTGCACACCATCACCAAGTGCACCAAAGGGTAGCTAGCACCCTGGAGCCTCATTAGAGACATCAGCAGCTCCACTGAGAAGTCAAGTGTCTTACAGACAAGGCCTGCAGGGGGATGGGGCACTGCGGCTTCCTTTCGGGTCTGTAGACTCAGGGCAGTGTACCTGTGTGAGACCGTTTGTGCAGCTCCAGATTGCTTGGGTGTTTAAAAGGCTTCCCACACAATTCACACGCATACTGTCTCTGGGACTGGAGGGTTTGGGATGGGTCCTCCCATGTGGCGGGGGCTCCCGGAATCTCCACCTCATGGCCGCTCTCTGGACCCAATTCTTCCCTCCCTTTTTCTTCAGGAGTTGGGCTTCTGGCTCTCGGGCCCTCATCTTCCTTAGCAGCAGATTCCTCCCTCCTGATCAACCCATCACCTGACTCCGGATGTGAGGTGTGCTCAGCTGACTGTTGTGACTTGAGAAAGTTTAGTTTCTTCAGGTGCATGGCTTTCTTCAGTCTCATCTGCTTGGCAGGCAGCTGACAAAGGGCATCTGCCTCGGAGTCAGTGCCAGAGGTCCTGAGGGCTGGAGCCAGGAACTGCTCTGAAGACTCCAAAGCATCTGGGCGGCCCTCCACAGTAGGCTGCGAATCTGCTGCAGCAATGTCGGGGGAGGCACTGAGAGCGAGGGGCTGCTCTGGGGCAGGTTCCTGGCTGGGGCAGGCGGTCTGCTTGTAGTACTGCTTGCTGTATAACGTTCTGAGTTTGTAATAATAATTGGGCTGTTTGGAGGGCAGCTCTGGGCAGCTTCCACTTGCAGCATCCAGGGCTGGTTTTGCTACTTCTCCTGTGGGACGACTGAAACCTGCTGATGGAGCATGAGGACTCAGTTCAGCCAGAACTTTAGCCTGCGGGCCTTCGGTAGGGCACTCCTGCAGTGAGTGGGGCGGGTAATGCTCACTTCCTGCACAGGTGCCATCCAGAGTCACACTCTGCAGGGAGAAGGCGCCAGCACAGGGCAAGCCGGGCAGTTGTGCTGCCGAGGCTGACTTCAGAAATGTGTGGCACAGATTCAGAACATTCTGTACCTGCAAACACTCCGCGGTGTCCAGCATCACTTGAATGTTGTCCTGGTTGAGGTCAAGGTGCGATGTGTACATGAAGTCCAGGATCTGCCCTATGCCACTGACATTTTTAACATCCAGGTGGAAAACATCATTCTTCTGGCTGGAAGAATTCTGAAAGAGGCTCCTGACAAAAGAAAGAACATGTTAGCTATTTTCACATTCTGCTAGCATTTTCTTTTAATGTTTTTATTTTTAGAGTTATTTCACCTTTATTGCCTTTTTTTTTTTTAAAGTATTTTGGGTTAATGTGTATGTTCAAGTGTATATGTGTGTGTGTGTGTGTAGGCCAGGGGTCACCCTTGGATTCTGTTCCTTAGACACCATCACTCTGTTTTAAGAGAATGGAGTCTCTAACTGGCCCACAGCTTGCAGAGAAGGCCAGGATGGCTGTCCAGTGAGCCTCGGAAATCCCCGTCTCCATCTCCCCAGTTCTGTATTGTAAGAATGCACTACTATGCCTGGATTTTTCATGTGGTCCTGGATCAAATCCAGGTCCTCATACAAACATTCTATGAAACATGATCTACCCTGCTTGAAGTATAATTAACCACATGCACCAATTTCACACTGATCGCAGCAAAAAAAAGGAACATTACATATCTCAGTGTTTTATATTTAGTCTGACACAATACATTCCTCACCACACAGCACACATACAAATATTTATGCCTGAAAAACTTCTGAAGATAAAGACAGCTAACCCTCAATATACACTCACTATGTAATCTATAATTTGGCTGCTAAGGTTTTTTTTTTGTTTTGGTTAGGTTTTTGGTTTTTTGAAACAGGTTCTTGCTATTAGATTTAGCTGGCTGGGGACTTGCCATGTAGACCAGGCTGGCCTAGAATTCACAGAGATTCACCTGCCTCTACTCCCCCAGGGCTAGGTATGCCACCATGCCAGTCTGGCTGCTAAGTTTTGCAGAGACCCAATGGTCCGTAAACAATGGAAAGAAATGCACTTTGACTTAATGAAGAAAAAGGCACATGCGGCCCAGCTCCTTGCTCTGGTGTGGGTCCGTAAGTGAGGGAACGGTATGAAGCACAACTTCAGAGGACGACTCAGGGACACTGGCTCACAAACCTGCTGCAGACATTTTGTCACCAGTCACCTGTTTCCCCAACAGCCTTTGGCTTTTAGGCTAGCTCGAAACAGCCAATACATCACACCTGTGAGAGCTAACTGCCCTGGACGACAGCAGAGCCCAAGTGTCCAGGACAGAGTCTTTACAATGTGTGAACAGTGTACACGAAAACTAAGGTCTCTGTGATGTAGGGTTATCAGGGCAAGAGTAGACACTTTCCACACGTGGCTGACCAGAGCAGGGGAATGTGCACCAGGAGCATGGTGTCTAAAGACAAGACACTTGCTAACCAGAATACACTTCTAAAGAAAAGGCAATTGTACAAAGGCTAGCTACATTGAAACACAACTGCTTGGTATTATTTAGTATATGTAAGTAAATCACATAAGCCAAAATAATGGCAGGGATAACTAAAGATTGAAGCTAAACTAAAGATTTTCTGGCAATATTCAAACGAAAAAAAAAAGGTGAACTGCTTTAATTTAGGTAGGGAGGGACCTAAGGTAGGGGAAGCATGCAGAACACTCTCCTCATGCTGACTCCTCATTCTTTCTTTCTCCAGACAGAATCATCTCTATGAGGCCCTGCTGGTCTGGCACTCTCTATTCTCCTGCCCTTTCCTCCATGTGCTGGGAAAGGACAGCCAGAGTTCTTCACTCGCATTTCTCATCACAGCAAAGTTTCTACTGCAGACGCAATCCCTCAATCATTTTATTTGCAAAGGAACTGAAATACAGAGAGAATACTGACATTAATTCTTTTCAACCATCCCCAGCAAACTCTAGCTAAGAGTCTCTTTCCCTTTCAGGTCGCTCTAAACACACAGTGATAGTAATTAAAGAATCAGGAAAACCCATAAACTCTCATTTTGTTTAAACTCCAAAGAGAAAGGCAGAAATATCCTGGAGAAAAATGGAATGTGGCCACAGTACTTTCCTGCCAGGTTCTCCAGGCAGGGAGGACACAGAGTGAGGCACTCACCTGAAATACTGGCTGAAGGCCGCCAGCACGTTCTTGTGGGCTTTGAAGCAGACGCCCCTCACCACCAGCATGCAGTCACAAAGCAGGCCTTGGATCCGCTGCTCTCGCAGCTGCTGGAGGAGGTGGCAGCTGTGAACAGCAACAGGGTCCATACTAGACCATGAGACCTGCAGCAGAGGATGTAGGTAAAAGACTCTCGAAGACACCACTGGGACAAAAGCGGCCCCAAATGCAAAAACTCTTGGCTTTCAGCGTGGCGCATCAAAGTTACAGCTTAAAACACACACCTACCCACTGAGCTGTTTTGGCAGCATCTAGTCCAGAGCTGTTCAGCCCACCTCTCTGCAATATGGAAATGCTTCCTCTTACTGACTAACTATGGAAGCCATTAGTTATGAGAAACCCAAAGCACATGGGTCTGCTAATATAGAAGGTGGCTGTGGTAAGAGTGTATGCATTTTGTTATGGTCAACTATGAATATGCAAATTAAAAATAAAAAACAATACATATACATGAACAAGCATAAAGGGAAAAAAAACCCAACCAGCTAAGACCAAACCCATACTTATTAAACACCTTGTAATAATTAATCTTGACCTTCAACTTCACGGAACTGAGAATCCCAGGGATGTCCCCCTGGGATTGGTGCACTTCCAGAAAAGCTTAAATGAGCAGGGAAGACTCACCCTAAATGTGGATGACATCATCCTATAGGCTGGGATCCCAGATTGAACAAAAGACAGAGAGCAGCCAAGCAGTAGCATACATCTCCCTGCTACTGTAATGTGACCAACTGCTTCCTGCTCCTGTCACCAAGCCTCCCCTCCATGATGGACAGCATCCTCAGACTACAAGCCAAAATAAACCCTTCCTTAAGCTGCTAGTACCAGATATTTTGTTATAGCAACAAATACACAGCTCGAGAATTCAAAGCTCGAGAAAATCAGGAGCCTATTTGGGGAGGTAAGATACAAGTTAAAATAACTACCATCACCACAAGGAGAGCAAACCAGTGTCACAAAACACCACGTCCATTTAGGTGTGCCTCTGTGCCTCTCACAGGCATAGAGGAAGCAAGAGAATGGGGTGTACATGATCCTGGCATCTGTGACCGGCAGGTGGGGAATCTCCAGGGCAGGAACTTGCTGGGCTTCAGAATATGGCTGAATAGTAGAGTATGACAGATCAGAGAGGCAGAGGGCAGATGACACTGAGCCTCGTTAGGACAACTGACTGACTGGGAAAGAGACAAGAGGCTCCCGTATGGACACAGAAGATCTGGTCATTCCTCATCTACCTAGTGAGTGACTACTATGCACTATAGTCTAGGGCAACACAGTGAGTACAGCAACACCAGGGGTCCTGGAAGCTCCAATTCTAGCTAATCGAACAATTACAGCTAGACGCGGGGGTGGAGGCACACACCTGAATCAGTGCAGCCTCTGGCATCCAGACACAGTGGGAGAGGACGGGAGGACACTGAGGGTCTAAATGGCAATCTGGTGCACTAGACAGTAGAGGACATAATGGCCTTGTGCACACAGTTAAGCACTGGAGAAGCCAGGAAAGTTAAACACATAGCTTACCTCTTCAATGGGATGAGGTACTTAGCTGTTTTTCTGGAACGCTGGGGGGAAAATGTAGTTTACAATCTGATAAGCATTGCTTCCTGTTGAGCCAGGCCCTGCCCATATCTCTCAGAATTTATGTTTTACTTATCCCAGATCCTTTCCCCTTAAAACTTTGAGCATCACTTCTAGGCCATAAAACTCATCCCTGTGAGAGATGTCATTTGTACAACAGCCTAAGTGACTTCTATGAATCATAGGGCCAGGTCAATCCCAACACCCGCAGGCATTATGTTTACTTCAATCTCCCTAGACCCTAAATCTTGGGCACTATCTCTGAGTCAACAGTACCCATCTATGTGAAAGAAACCGATTACTTTGTAAAGAATTTCAATGTGCCAGTTGGTAGTGGCACACACCGTTAATCTCAACACTCAGGAGGCGGAGGCAGGTGGATCTCTGTGAGTTCAAGGATAGCCAAGTCTATTACACAGAGAAACCCCATCTCAAAAAATAAAAAAAGAATCTCAATGTAAACATGTCTTGAAATTATTGTGCACTTGGGACAGAGTTAATTATTATTAAAAAAAAAACTCCCCCCCTCAAAATTGGGCTGTGCTTAAATATGGCTAAAGTAAAATGATCTGGGTCAGACTCTAGAAGTGCTGGCCCAGGCACCAGCTACAAAAATCAGGCTGATCCAAGCTTCATTCTTCCCTCACCCTTGCTGTAGAATAATCTTTTTGTACACTGTGAAGATGCGTCTTTGTCACAGCACATTCTGATTGGCTTAATACAGTTGAATAGTCAACAGCTAAGCACGAAGAGTTTAGGAAGGACATCCAGAGAGCTCTGGGAAGAAACGGGGGGGGGGGGGGTCCTGTAGTTGGTCACAGAGGAAGCAGAACATGCAGGAGGAGCATTAAAAGCCACGAGCCAAGTGACAGCACATATATTAATAGAAATGGGTTAATTTACGTTATAAGAGCTAGGCAGAAACAAGCCTAAGCTAAGGCCAAGCTTTCATAATTAATAACAAGCCTCCATGTTTTTTTTGTGAACTGGCAGCCCAAAGCAAACTCTATCTACACACCCTGATTGTTTGTCCCTGCCTGCAGAGACCTTCCCACACTAAGCATCAAAGAGGTCATGGGTTTTCTTTATTTCATATTTAGGGCAAAAACACTGCAGACAAAGTCACACCCACAAAGTCAGACTCAGAGATTCTTTTAACAGTGCCCCGAACCCTGATGGAGTTTGGATATGAAATATTTCCCAAAGATGATAGAGTTAAGGTTTAGTCCTCAGTGCAGCAGAGCTCATATGTGAGATAGCTGGACCATGAGGGTGTGAATTTCCTCCATAATTGCGAGAAAGTAAACCTCTCTCATCTGAATCACCTCGGATGTTGTACCCTGCGATGGAAGCTACAATAAACAAACAAAGCAACCTCCCTGTCACCGACAAATGCTCACCCTGGGGTTGTTTCTTACAATACTGCTCACAGCCTGTTTGACTCACTCATTTAATGAGTTGATCCACTGGCAAGTTCACAGCAGAATGAACTGCTGGGGAGCAACCTAGTGGGCAGAAGCAACAGTCTTTATGAGGTAAAGGCATGGCCCACATCTGCTTCATTCATCATTGTAGCTCTGACACCTGTGTCTGGGGCTTCATAGGCGTTCAGTAGGGTTCCTTCTAGCTCAGCAAGCTAAAACCTAAATCAAGAATACGACAGTAGAAAGATCAACGTGAAAGACAGCAAACAATGGAAATACCAAGGCAAAGAGAAACAGAAGAAGCTTGGGTGATGTGAATGAAGAGGGGGTGCCTCAAGGGAAAAGGAGCCTTAGTGGAATCTGAACCCAGAAGGGGCTCCGACAACGAAAGCCCTTCTGTGTGTGTGCGTGTTTTATGTATACATGTGTGCACATGTCTGGAGGCCAGAAGCCAACCTTAGGCATTGTTCCCTAGGAGCTGTCCACCTTGTTCTTTGAGACAGGGTCCCTTATTGAGATGAGAGGCTCACTGATCCCAGAGATCCACCTATTTCCACTCCCCACCCCCAACACTGGGATTGCAAGCGCAGGTTACCAAAATGGAGTATTCCATTGCATTCTCCAGAACCACACACGTTGATTACCTGTGAAAGCAGACTTTAATAAGGCAAGTGACTTAAAAGAGCCTATTAGGATGAGCCCTGTTTCAATCTGACTGACATCCTAACATAAGGAGATGTAGATACAAGCAGAAACGCTGGCGGTGCAGTGGCACAGAGGACAGATCATGTGAGGCTACAGCAGGAAAGTGACCGACCACCTGTAAGCCGGGACGGTTCTCTACAGCAAGTAGATTTGTTGACACCACGTTCATGACCCTCCGTCCTCCATAACTGTGAGAAAGTAAACCTCTCTCATCTGAATCACCTCGGATGTTGTACCCTGCGATGGAAGCCACAATAAACAAACCGAGCAACCTCCCTGTCACCGACAAATGTTCACCCCGGGGTTGTTTCTTACAATACAGCTCACAGCCTGTTTGACTCACTCATTTCAGCAGCAAACGGTGACCACTATCGTATACCAGATGCCGTCTTACAGGCTGAGAACGTTTAGTGAACCCTGACTAAAACTGCAGATACCCTACCCGCTCAGCACCTGACCTGCACCGACTCGTTGACTAATCCTTTAAGGTCCCCAGAAGTAGGCGCTGAAGTGACAACATTCTACAGATGGGACACCAAGGCACAGATGGTCTCGTGGAGAATGAGGCAGGGCGCGGCAACGAGGACGGCTCATAAGCGCCTCTCCTCTCTTGGGGCGACGCGGACATCAAAAGACGCACAGACCGCAGCAAGGGCTGGAAGGAAGCCCGGCTCCCACGCCCGAAGTCTAGCTTTGTGCTCGGCCGGGCCCGCCACGCGCGTTGTCAGCAGGCCGGCGCGCATCCCAGCCGCGCAGACCCGCAGCTCGCGGGAGGCCAGAGTTCCGGGTCGCCTTACCCTCGGAGGCCGCTCCCAATCGGCCGCCTCCTCGTTACCCGTCCCCGTCAGACCCTCTGCGTCAACTGCAGGACTCCAAGCGCCACGGAACCATTCCGACAACGCCCCCTCTGCAGCTCATCGGCGGCTTCCGTCGCCGTCACTTCCGTCCGGGGGCGTGGCCGCGACGCGCTTGCGCACTGGCGCGCGCCAGCCGGGCGTGAGTTCTGCGCGGGTGAGTTGGAAGAGAGAGAGAGAGAGAGAGCAGGTGGCGGCGCTGTGTTTGGTGACTGAGGCTCCACGTGCTCCCGGCAGTCGGTTAAGACCGTTGGCGAAGTCTGCTGAGAGGTGAGGGCGGCAGCTTAAAACCCGTGGCCTATAGCGGGGGCCTTGGCGGCTTGGCCTCTTTCCTTGCGGATCTGCTCGCCGACGAAGGCTAGAGTCCAGACCTCCGGGAGAAATTGCGTCCTGGTTTTTAGTCATAGGGGCAGTCGGGGCGGTCCAAATGGCATGGTTGGTTCCCACCGCACAGGGCTTCAGACCCACTGCCTGATGGGGAGAAGCTCTGTTCTGAGTCTCGAGAACTCAGTTCTGAGAAGGGACCTGAGGACTCCTGGAGCGCCAGCGGACCACAAGTGCGCGCGAATCCCCAAACGTCCATTTAGATACAAAAGCCCTCTTGTGCCCGGCTCTACGTCTGTCCAGAAGGGATACTAGAGAACCTAACTTGGGGTGTATGTGAAGATTACAGGGGTAAAGTACTTGGCATGTTGTAGTTGCTCAGGAAATGTCAGAGTTGACGGGCGGTGGTGGCACTCGCCTTTAATCCCAGCACCTGGGAGGCAGAGGCAGGCGGTTTTCTGAGAGTTCGTGGCCAGTCTGGTCTACGAATTAAGTTCCGGGACAGTTACACAGAGTAGCCCTGTCTCAAAGAACCAAAACAAAAAAACAAAAAAAAAAAAAGAAAGAAAAAAAGAAAATGTCAGAATTTTTCTGTAAGCAGCTACCTCCTAGGAGAGAGAGGTAAGAGGGTTGTGTGTGCCTGCAGACCTAACTTCTGGCCATTGAGGGTTTAGGACACGGGACTTGCTCAGATTAGGTCAGGCACATAGTGTCTACCATAGTGCCTAAAACGTTTGGGTGAGGTTGTGGTGGGGAGGCTCGAACTGCAAGACAGGGGCATAGCTTGGAGTCCTTGAGCTTCAGTGGAAACAGGTGCCCTGCTCATGGTCTTCCAGGTCCCAGGAGGGCAGATATGTGCCTGATTCTTGTTTTGCACTATACCTGTGAATTTTGGGGATTCTCCTGGAAGGGGCTTGTGTCTAGTCAACAGGGTTGACTCCCTGTTTCATGGATCGGGAGAACTTGAAGTTTAAAGGGAGCAGTGATTTGCTCACTGGGTCTTGTGCTGGAGTTGCCAGCCTGGCCTTTAAGATGTGCTGTTTTAGCCCGGTGGTGGTGATGGCGGCGGCGGCAGTGCACGCCTTTAATCCCAGCCAGCACTGGGGAGGCAGAGACAGGAGGATCTCTGTGAGTTCAAGGACAGCCTGCTCTACAGAGTTCCAGGACGGACCGAATCCAAAGCCACAGGGAAACTGTCTCGGAAGAAAAAAAAAAACAAAAAGGAAAATTGCTGTTTTTAGGGCAAATCTAGTCAGCATGTGTGCATAAGTAAAAAAGTATGCTGAGAACAGGGAGATGGTCCATTCTGTAAAGTGCTTGCCAAACAAGCATGAGGATCTGAATTCTCTTGCTCAGAACCCAGGTTTAAAAAGCAACGTGTGGTGATGAATCCTTCCAGCTCACTAACTGGGGGGCTGCAGATGTGGTAATTAAGAGTACTCGCTACTCTAGCCTGCTCTCCCGGGGTCATGGTTGTGATGCACGCCTTTAATCTCAGCACTTGGGAGTCAGAGGTGGGTGGATCTATGTGAGTTCGAGGCCAGCCTAATCTACAGAGCAAGTTCCAGGACAGGATCCAAAGCTACAGAGAAACCCTGTCTTGAAAAAAAACAAAAAGTACTCACTGCTCCTTCAGAGGGTCTGGGTTCAATTCCCAATACCCAAAATCTAAGAGATCCAACGCCTTCTTACCTCTGTGAGCACTAGGCACATTAACAGAGGTAAGACATATATACATAATATGTATATATCTCACAGCACTGGAAAGAAAAAGCACAGGCTTCACTTAGCCCAGGGTTCCGCTTGTAGCCTTCACATTTGTGGTGCTGTTAAACTGGCTTTTGTGATTCTGACTCTTAGCGTCCTTTATTGGAGGTGCTGCACAGCCAAGGTGACCCTGGGGCTGGATTGTCCTCCCTGGATCATGAATAAGCTCCTTACAAATCTTATCTCCTTAGCCTAGCAGGTGGATACACTGTTTCCCCTTTCCTGTCAAATAAATAGATAGAAAAGCAGTTGAGCATGGCTCCAGACTGATGTTTCAGTTGGACATGTGACCTGATTCCAACCTTCACCTGACTTGATGTGCTCACTGTGCCCTGATCATAGGGGACTGTTCTGTATAGATGCTGTGTGCATATGTTTTTTTTTTGACATACCATCTCTGTCACTTCCTGTATCTTGTTTTCAGTATCGTTCTTGGGCCTTTAATTCTGGTGTTGCCCAACCAACAGACCCATGGATCTCAAGGTTTGCTGAAGCCTGCCGTCTCCTCTGTTGGCCAGAAACAGCAGTCCTCGGTGGAGGAGGTTAGAAAGCTCTAAGCCATGTAACGTTGGAGGGGCGTTTTCTTCATCTGCCTCATTGTGGAAGTGCTTTCTGATTTTTTAGTGGCTCCTTTAGCTAATCGCACAGCAGCTGCTCCCTGTGCTATGATAGCAGTTTGTCTCTTGGTATCTAATCAGTGACTCTTGTCTTGTTCTTATATAAATGTGTAAGAATGTCCAGACTAGGTGACACCTGAGGTAGGCTCTTGTTCCTGTGTTTTCTCACTTGTGTGGCAGAACAGCTGCCTGGCGTTTAATTACCTCCACCTGTTTTATGCCAAATGATAGTAAGCATCTCAGAACCTAGACATTAAACATTAAGTAAGCATTAAACATAATCCCAGCTCCCTGAGCTGTGACTGTGTCACAGGTCTTTATACAAACCAAGCTAGATAACAGGACTTACATGGCCTAGAGTGGTCCTATCTACTTCATTTGACCTTTGGTACCAGGCTTTTGCTGTCCACATGCTTTCTTTTGCTCATCAGCTCTATTTGCAAGCTAAGGAGGGAGGCACAGGACATTGGTGTCAAGAACCTGTGGTTTGTATATAGCAGTGTCCAACAATGCTCCAGAAGGCAGAGGGACTTTGTATACCAGGAAGGAGATTTCCATTCAGGGCTCAATGGAAGAAAACAGTCTTGATCTTGCTTTGGCATGACCTCTCCAGCACTGTTTCATACTGAGGAAGCGAGTGCCGGGTTAAGCAGCTCTCGATATTTGGACTGAACAAAGCCCATTTTATTAAGGCAGCACTGCTTTCTTAGAGTACAGTGGTTAAAAGGCTCTGTAAGCATGGAAAGTTACCATGGCAATTGTGACACTTCAGGAATCGGTTTGCAGAGTACAGTAGCATGCATGCAACATGAACTGACTGTGTGTGTGCAGATGGTCTCCATGCTGAGTGCACAGAGGAAGGCTGGCACACCTGGGTTTAGGAGCGCCTGTGATAGGTTTTTTTCTTCCTGCCTGATGTGTATAAGTCTTAATGGAATGTGTTCATTTGTGTCTGTCCACTGAGGCCAAGGGAATTTTAACAATTGTGACTTCATTGTGCTTGTAGGAATCATTTTCAGTCTTCATTGGAATTGTTCTTTGGCTTCTCCACTTGCTAAGCCCCGCTGCTTGCCCCCTTGCTTTGTTGCTGTTGCAGTCACAGTAGCAATCCGCACTGCCCACCTGCACTGTGGTACTCTTTACCACTTTAATTTTGTGCATTTTATACAGGGGGGGGGTGCTTGAGATCTTTAGGAAAGCTTTATCTGTGCCGCCAATCTTCCAGGTTTAAATCCTTTTATGCTCTCCTGGGCAAGTTCCTTACTCCCTGTGCCTCTGTGGCCTCAGAAACATTGAGCCGTGACATCCTTCCCTTGTGAGGGCTCGATACATTAGCTCCTGAGCATACTTCCTGGCCTGTGCTAAGCACATAATGTTTTTCTGACACTAGTGGTAGGATACTTCTCTGAGATTACTGGCAAACTTTGAGCCTGCTCTTTTACTGTGGGATTCATTTACTGGGAGACATTTCTGCTTATTATAATTCTTTGTCTTGTTTTCTTTTTTAGGGCAAGAGTTCAAACCAATCTCTGATAGAATATTTAATCATTTAACCAAAGATGGTGTTTTTTACATGCAATGCGTGTGGCGAATCAGTGAAGAAAGCGCAGGTGGAAAAGCACGTGTCTGCCTGCCGAAACTGTGAATGTCTCTCCTGTATTGACTGTGGGAAGGACTTCTGGTAAGTTCTGATAATTCCTGAAGATCCACGGATAGAAGTCCAGACCCTGCAAGCCTGGGAGAATAGAGGAGCAAAATGAGGACAGAGACCAAGAAGGAAACCTTACAGTCTATTGCCGAAACTTGATGTGACTCTTCAAGAGAGTGCTGCTGTTTTGTTGTCCAAGGGTTTATGTCCTGCCCAGTTCCCACAATTGTTAAGTCCCAAAGAAATCACACAGAGATCTACATTAGTTATAAACTGATTGGCCCATTAACTCTGGCTTCTTATTAACTCTTATAACTTATATTAATTAGCCCATTGTTCTTGTCTATACTAACCATGTGGCTCGGTACCTTATTCAGCGGTGTAGTCACATCTTGCTTGCTCTGTGGCTGGGACAGGACTGCGGACCAAGCTTTCCTCTGAAACAGAATTCTCTGTTCTCATCGGGCCTCTAACTTCCTGTCTGGTTGTCCCGCCTATATTTCCTGCCTGGCTACTGGCCAATCACCATTTATTTAAAATATAATTGACAGGATACAGACCATTGTCCCCCAGCACCGTTTCATTTTAAGGACTTGTGAAAGTGAAGACCAAAGGGACAGGATCCTGATGGCTAGAGAATTTGGGGCTAGTAAGGTGACTCAGGGATTCAGCTTGCCCTACAAGCTGGACCACTAAGTTCCATCCCAGGACTCAAGGTAGAAGAGAGAAATGACTCCCCCAAATTGTCCTCTCAGCTCCATGTTTACCCTGTGGCACTTAGTACACACACAGTTTGGGAGCAGATAGTTTATAGTTCAATGGCAGAGCTCTTGTCTGGTATGCATGAAGCCCTAGGTCCAATTCCCAACATCAAAAAAATACTAATTTTTAGAGAAAATTTGATCATTCAATTTCCTAACTGGTATTTTACTTCCGTTATTATTATCCAGTTCAAGGAAGTGAGCACTCAGAATAAGGGACTTTTCGGGAGGGAGTGTTATGGGGGAGGAGATGATCCTTTGTCATGGTACTATCAGATACCATTGCTCTAAAGAAAGCAATAAATAAATGGAAAGATTAGATTAAGAATTAGGCTGTTTGTGCAGTTGCCAGGTGTGGAAAGTCACAAACAGTAAGCAGCATGCTGTCGTTGAGAGTCACTAGCAAATTGTCAGCCTAGTGATGAGATGGGTCCCTCTGCAGGGGCGATGACTATAAAAGCCACGTGAAGTGCATCAGTGAAGGTCAGAAGTATGGAGGCAAAGACTATGAAGCCAAGACGCACAAAGGTGACGCAAAGCAACAGGCATGGATTCAGGTAAGGGTCTCCACCCATCCTGTCACTCACCCGGCACCTGCTTCCTTCTGGGGGTTCGGGGATAGGTCCCAGAACAGAAGTGTAAGAATGTCTTGAGAAAGATAAAATCCTGGTGCATTTACCTCTGGATGATGTGTTTTATAGATTGTGTTCACAGTGTTTGAGGGTTCCTGCTCACCTTGTTTTGACTGTAAAATGAAACTGAAGCATGTACAGGTGTGCTCCCAGTGGTAGAGACCTTACAGCTTGGCCCTGTCCGTCTGTCACATCTGAACAAAGTAAATAATTTCACAAATGCAAGGAATTTTCTAGTTAAATAAAGTGAAAATATTTACAAAAGCGGTGAGCTCCAATTTGAAAGAAGGGGAGATCACTGGACAGATGTCACCTTTGTGGAGACTACATTTTCTCGAAAATCAAATTAGTAGTTACCCCATTGAGTGGCAGAGTGTGAGTGTGAACTGGGGTGTTGGCTCTCGGAAGGCTCATCCTCCTGGCATGGCCCTCATGAAGAACTTCCAGTAGCTGAGAAGATGTGTAGAGTGCCGGCAAGATGGCTCAGCTGGGATACAGGCACTGGCCACCAAGTCCAGTAACCTGAGCTTAATCCCAGGACTCATGTAGTAGGAGAGAAGTGATTGCTACAAGTTGTCCCCTGACCTCCACACAAGCTCCTTTTCCTGTTGAGCCATTCTGCTCACCCTGAATGTTGTCTGTCTGGTCATATGTAAGAAATTGTTACCAGACTGGATCTTTTGAAAGGTTTTTTTTTCCCTCCTAAGATTTTATAGTTTAACTTTTTAAGTTTAGGTCTTTGATCTATTTGGGGTTATTTTTTATGTAACTTAACGTAAGAGTCCAATTTCCATGTAAAGATCCACTATTTCTAGCACCATTTGTTGAAAAGGGGTCCATTCTTTCATGGACTGGTCTTGACATCCTTGCCGAAAACCCTTTAACCATAGCCTCAGTACCACACTCATTGAATCATTGCAGCCTTGTAGTGAGTTTTGAATTTAAAAACAAAAAACTGATTTGGGTGGCGCAGCCTTTAATCCCAGCACTCAGGAGGCAGAGGCAGACTGCGGGTCTCTCAGTTCAAGGCCAGCCTGGTCTACAGAGTGAGTTCCAGGACAGGCTCCAAAGCTACACAGAGAAACACTGTCTTGGAAAAGCCAAAAAAACAAAAAACCACGAAACTATTATTTTTCAATATTGTTCGTTTGGTTGGAGTCTCTCAGGGTTCCTTGTAAATTAGATCACACATACAGCTGAACTTTGCCAGCGCTTTCAGGTTGACATCTTAATGTTGTCTCAGCCTGTGAGATTAATGCCGTCTTTGATTCTTATAACAGTGTGTTTAGTGCGTAATTCTTTCTCCTCTTTGATTGTGGTTTTTCTAATTAGTCTATTCTTTATGTTGTATTGCAAATGAAATTTTCCTGATGTTCACACTTGCATTATTTTTTGTTGGCATATAAAAATACAGCTTGCCTTTTCAGAATTGTGTATTCTGTAGCTCTATGTAATGAGTTGTTACCTCTAACTGCTTGACCCCTCTAGAGCTTCTAAATGTGTGGCTGCATTCCTTCCAGTACTACCTGTGAATATTTGACCTGATTTTTGTCCCTTTTGTTAAGAAGGCTTTGGCTTCTTTTTCTTGCCTAATAGCTTTGGCCAGCCCTTCAGTGATGTGTGAAATAGGAATATTTGTCATTATACATAGAGCAAATATAGAACTTGGCTTCAAAGGTGAGACCCCTTTGGCCGTACCAATATGTTTATTGCTTCTTCTTTTTTTAAATAGAAAATTAATGAATTAATAAAGAAACCCAATGTCAGCCCTAAAGTTCGAGAACTTCTGCAGCAAATCAGTGCTTTTGACAATGTTCCCAGAAAAAAGGCTAAGTTTCAGGTATGGATTTAAATGACATTCCCAATTCGGGGTGTGCCCCATCAGTGACCTGTCAAGGGATAACAGCTTTTTGTGTCTACAGAACTGGATGAGGAACAGCCTGAAGGTGCACAGTGACGCTGTTCTGGAGCAGGTGTGGAACATCTTTTCCGAAGCGTCCAGCAGTGTGAGTCCACTCCACTTTGATTGCAGTATGACAGACAACTAGGAATAATGGAATGGAGTGCTGTGTGTGGAGGCTGAGAAGGCGTTCCAGAGAGCCTCTGGGCTACAGCTCCTTGATGGGCAGGACTGAGCTGGGAGCATCTGGTGTGCAGAGACAGCCTTTCAACCTGTGTGCTTGGTAGTGGGACCAGTTTTTCGGAATGATTGGCATAGCAGTCGGGCTGGGTGAATGGTAGTGATCCAGGATTTGATGTCTGGCTAATCCGATTCTGGACTCTGCTGTGCTTTGTGTGTGTTTGATCATGGCCACATTATTTAGGCTCGGCTCCTCAGTTTCCCAATCTAAAACATCTGTGCTACTATACCCTTTTCATTTATTCCTCAATCACTGCAGACCTCAAATATATCCGGAGTGCCTTGGTGCTGTAAAAGAAATTTGAACTGGCTGAGGGTATTGCATCTTTCAGCCAAGAGTGTGGGGCCTCAGACCCCATGCATGTTGTAGTGGTACAGTGGGTATATAAAGTGCTTGCTGCCCAAGTGTGAGGATCTGACTTTGGATCCCCAGTATTCTCATACGAGCTTGGCATGGCATTTCTTACCTGTAACCCTGGCGATGAGGAGGTAGAGGTAGGTGGATCCCAAGGACTTGTTGGCCAAGCTGTGTAGCCTAAATAAAAAGCTCCAGGTTCTGTGAGAGACCCTGGCTCAAAACTTAGGGTGGAAAGTGACTAAAAAGATAGTCGATGTTGTCCTGGCTTCCACATGCGTACGCATGAGCAAGTGTTCCTGTGTAGATATACACCCAAAAAGGAAAAGGTAGCTTGAGCAGCAAATGAGATCAGGAAGCTCACCTTTATGGTATTTCTTGCGCTTGTCTCCACAATGCACAGATAGAAGTCTTAAAACCATCTTTTATTTAATTGGCATGAATGTGACATACCGCTTTAAAAGGTTATTTCTATTATTTTTGCAAAAAATTCAAAGATTTGAAATTGCTTAGTTCAACTGTGGGGTTTTGACTTTTTTTCTAGTCCTTTGGAATTCATGAGCTCATTAAAAATTGAAGAAAATGAGCAGTAAGCTCCTGCTGTGTTCTGACAACTAAACCATGACCAGTGACATTGGCCCCCATACCTCTGCCCAGTGATTGTCTACAGATCAAAGGGCCTCTGGCTTGGTTTAACCTTGGCGTGGGCATATCCTCCTGCCACTGCAGGTGTGACAGGGGTGGAGTTTTCTATCCTGGTGTACAGCTTCTCCCCGTGTCAGTTAGCAGGGTGCCATGGGTGCAGCCATCATCGGGTGTTCCTGCCTCAGTGGAGCTGGGTGTGGTGGAAACAACAGTGGATGAGGGGTTCCATATAAGGCCAAGTCTTGGTGCTGTGAAGAGCAAAAGGCAGTGGGCGGAGAGGAAAGGGGGTGTCCACTCAAAAGAGTTGGCCAGGGGATTACTCAGAAGCAGGGGGAATGGAGTAGGATGAAGTGGAAAGAACCGAGTCTCTAAGAACCTCTGTATGCCTTTCATCCTGCAGCCATGAGCTGGTTTAACACCAGGTGGAAATTGGGTCTAAGCTTAGTAGAAGGAAAGTTGAAGACTCTGGCACTCAGTGGTCGCATGTTACTGTTTGAGTATTGAATGTCTCCAAAGGCCCATATGTTGAAGTCTCATCATCAATTTCTGGCACT